AATGTTACAGTATCAGTGTATTGACTTTTAAAATCCATTTCATTGAATTAAAATTTTACTTGTTATAAGTTTGAATTTTATTGAAATTAAAAGAATTATTGTAGGAAAATTTATCCCTTTCATTGCTGTATTTTTTTCCCATTTATATTATTAAATTCAAATGTAAATTTAACTGAAAATGAATTCATATATGTTGTAAATCAAATAATTCATTTAATTCTCATGTTTTTTTTTTCAGTTTGTTGGTACAGGATTTTTGGCGCTATTTGTATGTGTGATCACAGATAAACGTATGGAAATTCCATCAAGTATTCATGCGCTTCTTATTGGATTACTTATTGCAATGATTGGTATGGCATTTGGAATGAATCTCGGATATCCCATTAATCCTGCTCGAGATTTTGCGCCTCGTGTTTTTGCTGCTCTAATCGGATATGGTTGGGAAGTTTTTAGGTACGATAAATTTTTTTTCTCCCTCTCTCTCTCTCTCTCTCTCTCTCTCTCTCTCTCTCTCTCTCTCTCTTTCTCTCTCTGTCATTCATGGAGAAATATTGCAGAAGTAGCAGCTGTTACATATAATTTGGTAGTTACACTTAATGATTTAATAAATGTTTGTTATTAGTGTTAATGATAAAAGTAATTAAATTTCAAATTGAGTTAATATTAAGCGTAGATTTTTCTCTCATAATTTTACCCATACTAATAATTTGTAAAATTCTAATTAGAATACAATTTGGTTTGGATTTATTAATGATATTAAATGTATTTTTCTTTTTTTTGGTATTTTATATTAATTTTATTGCAGCTATCATAATTACTATTTTTGGATTCCGATATTGGCACCGTTCTTTGGAGCAATTGCTGCAGCCTGGTCATACTTCATCTTTGTTGGTTTTCAAATTCCCGATCAGCCACCCAATTATATGAAGGAAAATAAGACCGATGGTGATGGTATTCCGTTAAAAACAACGTAATTAAACTTTTGTCTTTTTTTTTGGCTTATTTTTTTTAACAGTTTCACAATTCATTCAGTAATTTTAAATTTATTGATATTTTCTATCAGATTGAACACTATGAATTTTTTTTTATATTGGAGAACTATTTTCTGCAAACATTTCATCCATTTTTTGAATATATTAGGAGAATAAATTTGACTTTTCAATCATTCGTTTGTTTGTAAATTATTAAAAAATTGTTTAAGCATCATCTTTTACAAATATTTTTAATTCTTTAATTATTTTATATTTCCTCCTTTTTTGTTTTGTTTTAGAGATCTGGCATGAAAAGACTGAAAAGTTCAGTATGGCTGATAAATACGAGTGTATACGCGTGTGAAGAATTCGGCTCATTTTTTGAAAAATTCAAAAATTTCCAATTTAATTGCATAATTTGCGCCTCACTATTTCTAAATTAAGTAGTTTCATTTTCTGTTTAAGGCATCGATAAGAAGTTGAACTTAATATTAGCCTAAAAGTGAGACATCAGAGTTTATTACGTCAAAATTACACTTTTAATGCACCACTGATTATATTTCGTTATGTCGGCCAACTATTGAAAGAAAAAAACGAATTTTTTTTTAACAAATAGACAAAGTGAAACTTTTCACAGCAATCAATTAGCATCTTTTAACTGAGTAATTATTTAATAATTGGCCGGCAATAATGTAATAGTTATCCTATTTTGTTTTCTATTTTCTGTTTATGCCTTTCTATTTATCTTTTTTATTGCAAAAATTTTATATCAAATAGAAAATTATGATAGTTACATGCTTCCCATTCTTTTAAACAATTTTTTTTTTCCTTTTTATCAGGACGGAATGGCATTATTTGTTGTCAAACAAAAACTTGATTTCAATTTCTGATTAAAATTAAATACGAAAACTATGTGATTTTTTTTCTTAGATTATTCGAATTTTAATGGAAGAATGAAAAAAAATATGCGTTGAGTATGAGTCAAACATTAAAAGTTGTTGGGAATGGCGCAATCATGCACAATTTCATAATTGGAAGTAAATTACTTCAAAGTTAATTAATTTTCATCAAAGTATTATCGTACAGCTAATTCATTTCGTCCTCAATAATTTTGGTATTGATTCGGATAAAAAAGTGTGACAAAAATAAACGAAAAAGCAAAGTCACGAAACAGAGTTAACAATTACACTTGATGGTACGGCAGAAGTTTAAATTGATAAATTTTTGAGCATTCTTCACTGTTATCAGTTGACTGTCATTTGCTAAGATTTCCCATATCACCGCGATGCGATTAAATTTATGAAATCATCATTAAATGCACTGCTCATTATTGTATAAAAGCGGCATTGACATATATAATGCAAATATTAATTTTATTTAATCATTGTCACCTCCATCCAAATCCATTATTCTCATGTTTCAAAACATCAATGGGTTCATTTTAAAAAAAAAAATGAAATGAAATGAATGGAATTTCAGTGTTGCTATGAACGATTGGAAATGAAGTTGCACTTACATTTCCTATACTTTTCTCGACATTTTGTTCAAATATAACCCATCCTAAACTTCAAATGATAAATGAAAAACCAAATCGTACAACGGTTTCCTCTAATGTAATATCATTAATTTTTTCTGATTGTAATCTTTTCCTCACATTCTTTTGCACTTTTAAAGTGATTCTAAACGAATTTCAAAGCAATTCTTTAGACGACTTCTTTTTCTCAAACATTTATTATTTTTAAACAATACGCTTACAGTTAAATTAGTGCAAATCGTTACCAAAGACTGTAATTTATTCCTTTCTTTTTCCAATACATTTTCAATTACGCCCTCAAAAAATTTTATTTTTCGAAATTTTTTGATTTCGTAATTATCATCATCAAGTTGATGATTTTAATCTGACCTTCGCATCAAATTTTATTGAATAACATTTGATGGCACTGATCGCTAAAATGTCAGAAAGATCAAATACGTCAATCTAGCATCTGAAATATATCCATCTGGCCCACGTATTTGGCGTGTTGTTTGTCTTCCGGCCAAGTAATTGTGCAAAACAGTGAGAGATGGTACTATCTAAAAATTTGTGAAATTGTTTAGAATTTAGCATTTATTTACGATTACAACATGAATGAATAATTTCATATTTGACCATTTCAGGTAGAATGCACCATTTGGAACGTTTCAAAAAATATGGACGTGTGGAAAACGAGTTGGCTCGTAATTTGCTTTCTGAATTTTTTGGTACCGCTCTTCTGAGAGTGAGTATTTCAGTTCACTATTTCAATTTCATTGATATTTGAACTTTTTTAACATTCTTAAAGCTTTAATCCAACGACAGAAAAATCACAGTCTTAGCACTTGTAATGTCTGTTTGTGTTTATATTTCAATGATTACAGTTCATTTCTGTTCATTCTCGAAAGTTGCATATACTTCATCCGATTAATTATATAAATTAGTAGGAGCAAGGAATAGGAAATGAATTTTGTAAAGAATTCAGTTCATCGGTACCGGAGTGATGGCTCAATTCGTACTCAGTCGAGGGACATCGAATTCTCCGATACAAATTAATATCGGCTGGGGATTAGCGATCACACTGTCAGTTTATGTCGCATGGGAAACCTCGGGTAACTTACAGAGATTGATTCCCGAGTGAATGTGGGAAACAGGTCATGAAAGCATATGAAAAATGCTGAAACGAAAACTGAAATTCTGCCAACCGTGTGTTTGGAAAGTTACGGACCTTGGCTGTTTTATCTTTTCCTCATCTCCAATTGTCCTTCCACTAACTATCTTGTGGACAGTCTAATTTAATAACTTATCGTCTGCAGTGCTGTTAAACGTTGCTTCGTGAAAAGCTTGTCAGACTCCTCAGAATGCCATGGTTGGCCGGAAAATTTAGGGCTTTACAGCGATACGGGATCTGCTAATAGAGTACACTAAATTATATATATAATTGGACTAATTTCCAGGTGGACATGTGAATCCGGCAGTTACGGCTGCATTATTGATCCTCGGAAAGATATCTTTTGCTCACAGTCTTCTCTTTTTCGTTGCACAAACTCTCGGCGCAGCATTTGGTGCGGGGATAATGTACTTTGTTTATAGCGGTAAGCCAATTCTCTGAAAGGTAAATAGACAGGACTCTTCCTTATGATTCGCACAATTTTCAGAAGCAATAAATGCCTTTGATGGAGGAATTCGAGCAATAAGTGGGCCAAATGCGACCGGAATAATTTTCGCATCATTCCCGCAGGCTTACCTTTCCAATATTGGTGCCTTTATTGATCAGGTTTGTCTTTTTGGCAAGCAGATTTCAGTAACACTCCAAGCAATAATGAACAGTAGCAATATTGATCGGATACAATAACTTTTATTTGTGGCCTCCACGTTCCATTTACAGTTTTAGATGGCTGGCACTAGTCTGATTGGCATTTTCGTTGCATTTTGCTGCGAACCTAAGAATGAAATACCGAGAAATTTGATGCCAGTCCTCTTTGGTACAATCGCAACAACCATTTCGATGTGTTGTGGCTTGAATATGGGCTCTCCGGTTAATCCGGCTAGCGATTTTGGCTCACGAATTTTTGCCTCTTTAAGTGGTTATGGCATCCGACTTTTTACGTTAGTGTGTTAATTTCCCTTAAATTTTAATTTCTTCTCCCAATATTTTTGCATCTTTTTCTGATAACTCATCCTTTCAGCTTCCATCAATACTTTTTCATCGTTCCATTGCTGGCACCAATTGTGGGTGCTGTGATTGGTGTATATTCCTATCAATTTTTTATCGGTTTTCATATTCCTAAACCTGAAGCAAGAAATTCTGACAACAACTGGGAAGCG